TTTCTTAGGTATGACCCCAAAAGCATAAGTAACCATAGGAAAATATATCAGCCAATGAAACATCATAGAATTAAAAAGTTATATGCTCTGTAGGTTATTATAAAAATGTACACCGCACCAGTGGTTCATGCCTGAAATCCTGGCTACTCAGAAGACAGAGATCTGATCTCCAATTATCTCTTATCTCCAATTAACCAGCAAAAAGCCAGAAGTGGAGCTGTGATCAAATGGTAGAGTGCCAACTTTGAGTGAAGAAGCTAAGGGACAGTGCCCAGGCTCTGAGTTCAAGCCCCAGTATTGGTGCACATGCGCACTCGGGTGCATGCGCGCGCTCTCTCACACACACACACAAACACACACACAAATACAGAGCTCAAAGAATGGGAGATAGTTACAAAGAGTATTTAGATAATATGCAATGCATTATTGTACCTCCAAAATAAAGAGATAAAACCTAATATAAAATATAGGTAAAGTAATTCAAAAAACGTCGGAAAAATATTTGCAAAGGATGAAAAATGTGTAATGCTAGGAGTCAGCAGGAAAATTAAACTCTCAGTGAAATACCATTAGCTTCCACTAGCTTGATTATAAACACAGATAAGGATAAGTTTTCCTGATAATGTAGGAAGATGGAGACTCTTGCTCATCGCCATAGTGTAGGACTCTTATTTTGGAAATGTAGTTTGGTAATTCTTTAAAAGGATAAACAATTGCATGTTACTCTCATCCATTCCAATACTAAATTCATGCTTAAGACAAATGAAAATATAACCATGGAAAATCATATCCAAGAATTCCTATGAAAGCATTATTTGTGCTAGTCATAAAAGGATCCAACTGTGCATCAAGTGATGAGTTTGCAAAGAAACCACCATATTTTCATAGAGTCAAATGTTACTAAAGGAATGCTACACACTATGAGATATAGGGTGGATAAACCTTGAAAGCTTGCTAATTGTAAGGAACCAATCATAGCCCTAATGCATGACCCCAGTCATAAGCAACGTCTAGGTTAGGGGAATCCAGGAAGACAGAAGTGGACTTTGAGCCATGTGCCAGTGACTCCAACCTGAAATTATATCTATTCAGGAGGCTAGGATGTGAGGATCCTGGTGTGAAGCCAGCCCAGGTGGGAAAGTCTGGGAGACTCTTATCTCCAGTAATCACCCAAAAAACTGCAAGTGGAGCTGTGGCTCAAGGAGTAGAGTGCCAGCCTTGAGTGTGAAAAAGCTCAAGGACAGTGCCCAGGCTCTGTGTTCAAGCCCAAGCACAGGCAAACACACACACAAAGAAACATTTTAAATTTATTTATGAACATTTTCTTTAATAAAGTAAACTATGAAGGTGGTTAAGATGAACTCGTCTTTATTTCCCCTTCCCCAAAACATCCATGTTCACGTCCTTCAGCTCATTCTTCCAGTACTCAGTTCCTCATCTTTAATATCTCAGGAACATGAAGCACAGTATCACAGTACAAGCTGGGAGTTGGAGTTGATGTGAGGAAGAGAGGAGGTTCTGGAAAGTTTGGGAGGAAAGCAAGAGTTGTAAAACTGGTTTTATCAGGGGTTGAGGACTCTGCCTTCACTCTTCTTGGCTATTAAACTTAATTAAGTCCTCTGCTGTTCAGCACAAGTGGAAGTCCCAGTGACTCCAAAGAAGCAGTAACAATGCTCATTTTGTCGCAGACTCATGCTGACAATACATGCTTTCAGCACCAGGCTGGGAAATGTACACTGCCGATGTGTTCTCCTAGGAATTCCAAGCTCACAACAAAAGTATACCAACAACACAGCCAGGCACTAGAAAAGGCCCAGTAGGAGTTACAGGTGGAAAAGGAAACTCCTCACCTGTGTTGTATTGCAATAGGCAGTCTATGGGTGGCTGCCTATGTTTGGCCAGAGCAGTGACCTCTGACCTGCAGGGACTATACTTTTGTCCAGAAAAGTTTGGTTTGTTTGTTTTTTGAGCTATATGGTCCAGACTGGCCTTATACTTTTGATTTTGAACACGTGATCCATTTGCTCAGCTTCCCAAGTTCTGGGATTGTAGGCATGCATTATTTTTTTATTATGGAATATAAAAAGGAGAGAATGACCCAATATGAACTGAGGCCTTTATCAGGCTAAACACTGCGAAAACGACTTCAAGCCTATCATCTCATGTAGAGTTCCCAGCCTTGAGAAACAGATAGTGTAAAAGAAATTAAGGTTCAAATAAGATGAACTAACAAATCCAATAAGATGAACTAACTAATCCAAGATCACATAATAGACAAGGCTATCTGGCACTTTCTACAGAGGCAAACACATCCCAGATAATCCTGTGAGGAGTATTGCTTGGGAGTATGCACAATAATTAGGGAACCCTGTCAGTAAGGTTCAGGAGGGCTGTTGTTTATTCTCTGGCTAAAGATACAAGCACAGCACACAAAAATTTCACACATGGGCATGGTAAGCCATTCCTCCAGGAGTTAAGTCATTTTAAGTAGTCAATTCTTGCAAAACACATGAACTTTTGTGGCCAACTTCTCATGCATTTCCATTTTTTTTATTGTGAAAATACTGTACAGAGGAGTTACAATTACATGGGCAAGATAACGAGTGCATTTCTTATCAAGCATTGTAGCCTCTTCCTTTGTTTCCCCTTCCCATCTCCTCCCCCTCGTGTCCCCCCCCCCCCCCCCCCCCACCAAAGTTGTAAAGTTTGTTTTTCGACATAATGACTTGTTACATCTCTTTATTGCATTTCCATTTTTAAAAGAAAAGTTGTAAGATGTAATTTACACCATAGAATGTATCCTTTCAGCTAGGTGCTGGTGGCTTACTCTTGTAATCCTAGCTAATCAGGATGCTGAGAGCTGAGGACCATGGTTTAAAACTAGCCCCGGCAGGAAATTCTGTGAGACTTTTATCTCCAAGTAACCACCAGAAAACCAGAAGTGGCACTGTGGCTCAAAGTGGTAGAGTGCTAGCCTTGAGCAAAAGAGGTCAGGGATAGCACCAAGTCATTGAGTTCAAGATGCATGACTACCATCCCCAGCAAAAATCTATCCTTTTACTATATATAATTCAGTGGTTTTTTTTTTTTCATTGTGTTCAGAAAATTGTGACGTTTCCTTATTAATTCCTAAATATTTCCAGTATCCCCCCCAAAGCAATCCCATTCACATTAGCACTCCAACTCAAGAAGATGTAGCCCACTTTGCTTTTTGTTTGTGATGGTTCTGGGCCGTGAACTCAGGGCTTGGGCTCTGGCACTTAGCTCTTTTGTTAAAGATTGGAGCGCTATCATTTGAGTCATAGCTTCACTTTTGGCTGTTTTCATAGTTAATTGGAGATATGAATCTCATGGATGCTGAGGCTGGCTTTGAACCATAATCCTCAGATCTCAGCTTTCTGAGTAGTTGGGTTGCAGGTGTGAGCCACCAGCACTTAGCTTGAAATACTTCTTGAGTATGATTTGACAATAAGATTCCAAGACTCTGTGTCCCCTATTCAGTTTCTGATTCTTTATAGAACTCTTTACATTCCTCTGACCGAAGAAAAAATTTAAAAGTTAAAGCTAGCAATTCAGACTTAGGGTGAAGATTTTCATTTGGTAATAAAAAATAAAGAACCTCATTCTCCAATGAGATGTACAAGACACTATTTTGAAAATGAAATTTACAACTTTGGTGGGGGAGGGCGGAGTTGTGGAGGTGGGGAAGGAAGGGATGGTATGGGGAAAAAAAGAGGAACTAACAATACTCCATAAGAAATGTTCTTACTGCTGGGCGCTGGTGGCTCACACCTGTAATCCTAGCTACTCAGGAGGCTGAGATCTGAGGATTGCGGTTCAAAGCCAGCCTGGGCAGGAGAGACCGTGAGACTCCAATAAAACCACCAGAAAACCGGAAGTGGCACTGTAGCTCAAGTGGTAGAGCGCTCGCCTTGAGCTGAAGAGCTGAAGGACAGCGCCCAGGCCCAGAGTTCAAGCCCCACGACTGACTAAAAAAAAAAAAAAAAAAAAGAAATGTTCTTACTACCTTACTCATGTAACTGTAACCCCTCTGTATAGTATCTTTACAATAAAAAAGAACCGCATTCTCTGCTCATAAATAGTACTTCCTTTGCCTTCTCCATTAGTCTATACATGTTAGCTTAGTTATAACTAAGCTGTCAGTGTGCATTCTAAAGGAACTTTTCCAATATGTATTTAGTTCATTTTCTTTTTTGTGTCCCCATAATGGGGCTTGAACCCAAGGTCTGGATGCTGCCCTTAGCTGTTTTGCTTAAGGCTAATACTCTTTGACTTGAGTCACAGCTTCACCTACAGCTTTTTGGTGGTTCAATGGAGATAAGAATCTCTTGCCCTGTCTTCCTGGGCTGATTTTGAACTATGATCCTGAGATCTTAGCCTCGTGAGTAGCTAGTAGCCATGGCCCCTGTCTTAGTTCACTCCTGGTGGTTCTTCTTTCCTTAAAAATATTAGAATAATAAACACATGAAAGGAGTTGGTTGCTGAAGCCATTTGAAAGCATCATATCTGAGGGGCTGGGAAGGTGGTTCAGTGGTAGAGTGCTTGCTTTGCATACATGAGGCATTAGGTTCGATTCCTCAGTACCACATAAGCGGAAAAAGCTGGAACTGGCGCTGTGGCTCAAGTGGTAGAGCACTAGCCTTGAGCTGAAGAGCTGAGGGATGGCACCGAGGTCCAGATTTCAGGCTCCACAACTGCAAAAAAAAAAAAAAAAAAAAAAGCATCATATTTGAGCAGTCACTCTCAAGGGTTTTGGCTTCACCATTAGGTAGAATAATTTGGGGTTTTATTTGAGGAAATTAGAACTTCTGAGAGCCATGTGAAAACCCATTTTGTATGGGTTTGTTGTTTTTTTTTTTCTCCAGGAGGCAGAGGATTTGACCACAAGGAACCTGACGTTTTCTCTCCTTCCTTTTCATTTCTTAGCTCTTAGAAGGAAATGGCAGATACTTAATCTACACCTTCTCTTTCATGTGTAGGAGCGGAAAAAGAAATTTGAAAAAGATGGTGACAGGTTTTATTCTTTGCTCGACCGTCATTTACATCTATCTTCCAAAAAGAAAGAATCTCAGTTGCAAGAGGTATGTTCACAAAGCCTGTCCTTTCCTTGTCTTACTTGCCAGCTGGTGCCCTAGAAACCAGAAACCTGGTGATTTTCTCTTGCCAGGTTTTCCCTTGTCCTGGCTCAGAATGAGAACACGTGCCTGGGACTCAGCAGGGTGTTGGTGACTCCCCCTATAATCCTAGCTACTCAAGAGGCTGAGATCTGAGGATTGAGGTTCAAGGTCCGCCTGGACAGAAAAGTCCCCATGAGACTCTTATCTCCAATTGACCACTAAAAAACTCGAAGTAGAGCTGTGGCTCAAAATGGTAGAGTGTTATCCTTGAGCAAAAGAGGTCTAGCACAGCACCAGGCCCTAAGTTCAAGCTCTATAACCGACCCCCCCCCCTCCCCCAAAGGGAAAAAAAAAAAAAAAAAGAAGCCTGGGACTCAGGCTCTCAGTTCCTGTACCAACTCCTCAGGTGCCTTTGGATAAAGTGCTTCACTGTGGGCTTCATTCCTCATGTGGCAGAGGAAAGTGACTGGCACACAGTGATCTCCAGGGCCTCTTTCAATTCCAAGTCCTACTTCAGATTCCCCATGAGGCTGGAGTTAAATTAGAGCTTTACTGGGTAAGTCAGTGGGCTACAGTTCACTGAACTAAGCTAATATTTGGCGAGTCACTTGCTAGTCACTTTGCTGGGGGCCCCAGGACAAAAGACAGAGTAGCACAAGTTTCATGGCCCTTTACAGCTTCCAGTTGGGATGAATATATTGGTGGCTTTTTGCTTGTATATGCACCAGGTATGTGTATTTTGTAGTCTTGAGCAGTAGGAGAAATGGAGACGTGGATGTGTGGATCATCTTTATAGAAGAAGGTTGTCCTTCTAATTGGACATGATCATTCAAAGATAAAGTGTAGCTGGGTTCACCCTGGTGCTGGTGGCTCATGCCGGTAATCCTAGATACTCAGAAGACTGAGAACTGAGGATTGTGGCTTGAAAACCAGCCTGGGAAGGAAAGTCTGTGAGACTCTTAGACGAAATTAACCAGCAAAAAGCTGGAAGTAAAGGTGTGGCTAAAGTGGTAGAGCATCAGCCTTGAGCAGAAAAAACAGTGAGGCTCTGAGTTCTAGTTCTCTAGTACTGGTATACACACACACACATACATGCATACATGCACATATGCACACACATACATACACACAGAGATGGAAATATTGAAGATTGGAAAATGAAAAGACATACCAAATGGTGTAACATAGGGCATATGCAATAAAGTTTGCTGTGGTTTGAGACTGACTTGCAAAGGTTCACGTGCTTCTCCTTTGGTCCAAATGAGGCAGTGTTCAGGAAAAATTTCTAAGAGATGGGGCCTAGTGGAATGTGGTAAGGTCACTGTTGTTTTCTGGAGACCCCAGTGAGTTTCCATAGGAGCAAAACAATGAACCTGGCTCTGCTCCTCTTTCCATGTGATCTCTAGCTTCTGAATGCAGCAAGTTTCTTTCAGTTTCTCTGTCATGTTGTGACCCATCCAAGGCAGCCTTTACTACAGTTCTATACAATGGACTCTTCTGATCCTAGTCTCTATAACTGTGAGATAAATAAGACTCTTGTTTATCAAGTATCTAGTAACAGTATTATGTTACAATAACAGAAAGTAGGCTCATTCAAGGTGCTCAGATACCATTTGTTTGAGGTCTCACAAATTGTGGCAGAACTGGAAATCATCTCTTGAGACCTGGTGTAGTAAGTGGCTGTCACATCTGAGGTGCTTGAAGGTGACTCATTGACAGCTTCAGTATTCCACAGAGTTAGTTAACATTGAAAAGGAGAAAGATGGCTTCTTTTTCACATGCTAGAACGAAGACTGGGGGTTTCCTGTTACTATTTCTCTTTTGCCCATTTGTCTTCTTTTTTAAATAATAATTTTTATTGAGATTAAATGATTACATAAATTTCAACAATTTCACAGTATTGTAGAATAGTGATACTTAAAGTTACAAACACATTTTAACCTTCACACTATTTGTTTTATTTCCCCTATCTATTCTGAGTCAGAGTTCCTGTGCAGAAAACGAAGAGTTAACCTAACAGGGTGGAGAGTGCTATGCTTAGAAATGCCTGTTAGAACATTAGCCTCCTGGCTGGCATCTGAGAACCTAAACTGGTGACTGGTTCCCTACACTGGTTGAAAAATTTCCCCAACTAGCCAGAGTAGTTCACTGTGCTCACTACCTGGATGAACAATGTAGCTTTTCTTCAGGCAGTTCAGAATTTTGGCACATGCTAGAAGAGGGTACCTCTAGTACCAGGCCCCAGTAAAATCCTAGGAGACAGATGGGTGCCTGGTGACTCATGCCTGTAGCTATTCAGGAACCTAAAACCTGAAGGATCTTAGTTCAAGACCAGATGTACAGAAAAGTCTGTGAGACTTAATCATCTCCAATAAACCAGCAAAACACTTGGATGAAGGCATGGATCAAGTGGTAGAGCACCAGCCAATAACAAAAAAACAAAGCCAAATGAAAGTATAAGGCTCAAGTTCAAACCCTGGTACTGGAACAACAAAACAAAACTTCCTAAGCCCACAAAAGCACATCTCCATGAAGATCCCAAAGAGTTTTAGAATCTAGTGAATTTCCCTGGTAAACATAGCCCATAGAAAAAGAAACTATGTCCCATGACAGCACTTAGTAATATCTATTAGGAGTTTAGTTTTTACCAGGCTCTGTCTTGATAGCCCCCATGCATCTTTTCTCTTCGATGCTTTTTCTTTATGTCTTGGCAATTGGTTATATCCTGGTAAATCTCCCGATGGCTGAGTTCTGTAAGTCTTCCTAGTGAGTCTCCAAACTTAGGGATATAATAGGAATTCTCCTCACAGCCCAAACATTTGGATGCTTTTGCTAGAGTGCTCTAGCAGTTTGGTGAAGTGAGTAGATGTCCTTGTTGACATTCTTGATGTGTAAGACTGCAGCATTTGTGCTGTTTTAAAAAATGATCTGGAGGACTTTCAATCAATTATTTTATTTTACTTTTATTTTTATTCATTCATTGATTTATTCATTTTGTGCCAGTACTGGGGCTTGAACTCAAGGCCTTGAACAATTTTTGCTCAAGGCTGGCACTCAGCCACTTGAGCCACTGTTCCACTTTGAGCCATAGCTCCACTTTTGGCTTTTTGCTGGTTAATTGTAAATAATAATCTCATGGACTTTTCTGCGTAGTCTGGCTTTGAATTGTAATCCTCAGCTCTCAACAACCTGAATAGCTAGGATTACAGGAACTTCAGTCAATTTTTTTAAAATCAGGAGATCTTAATTTTAGAGCCATTTGATGTTTATAGAAAAACTTAATAGACAGTAGAGATAAGTTTCTGGGTTTCTCCCATACCCTTCCCCATTGTTATTGCTTTAGTGTGCTGCATTTGTTACAGTCGATGAGCCAGCCTATTGAACACTGTGGTTTTTGACACATGTGTGATGTCAGGATCTGGCATCACAGTCTCTCACACAATGATCACTGCTTTAAAAAAACAAAAAACAAACAAAAAACAACACCTGGGCTGGGAAGGTGGCTCAGTGATACAGTGCTTGCCTTGTTTGCATGAGGCCCTGGGTTCAATTCCTCAGCATCACATATGCAGAAAAAGCTGGAAGTGGCGCTATGGTTCAAGTGGAGAGCACTAGCCTTGAGCTGAAGAGCTAAGAGACAGTGCCCAGGCCTAGAGTTCAGGCCCCATGACTGGCAAAAAACAAAAAAGAAAAGAAAACAACAACAATAACAACAAAAAACACCTGACACCTATTGATCATGTATCAATTTGTTTATCCATCCATCTGTTGAAAGGTATTTGGGCTTCTTCTGAAGATTGGCCTATGGTTTTCAGGTTTTGGTGTATCTAACTTTTCAAGTTGTTTGGATGCATACTAAAGGACACTATTGCTATATTGTGTGGAAAGGGTATGTTTAGTTTCATGAGAGCCTGTCTCCCAAAGAGACTTTTTAAAAAAATTAAACGTACAGTAGAATTCATCATTGATTTCATTACAATTCAAATGATTTAATAAGTATAAGCCTACTTAGATTGATTCACTTTGTGTGAGTTGTGATGGATTATGTCTCTCAAAGTATATATACATTTCAATTAGATTATCCAATTTGTGGGCATAGAGATTTTCACAATATTCTGTTGTCATTCCTTTGATGTACATGGGATCAATAGTTATGATCCCTCTTGCATTCTGTATTTTTGAATTCCAGAGCTGGAGACTGAACCCCAGACCTTGTGCATGCCAGAGAAATGCTGTACCACTGAACTACATCACTAGCCTCCTTCTTTCATTCCTGATGTCATTTGTATCTTTCCTGTCTCCTTAGTTACTATGACTAAATTCATGTCTTTTCTTCTGCTTACTTTGGGTATAACTTGTTCTTCCTCCTCTGGTTTCCTAAGGTAAAAATTTAGATTACTAATAGATATTTCTTCCATGCTAATTCATATATTTAATTCTATGAATTTTCTAAGAATTATTTTTAGCTAATTCAGTGTCTACTTTTACTTAATTCAAAACATTTAAAAATTTCTTGAAAGACTTACTGCATGGCATATGTGTTATTTAAAAGTATACTTTTAATCTCTAATTATTTGGAGGAACTAACAGATTTTTAAAAATGATTTTTTACGTATTTATTTGTTATTTACTTATTTTGGTGCCATTCCTGGGGCTTGAGCTTGGGGTCTGGGTGTTGTCGCTGAACTTTTTTGCTCAAATCTAGTGCTCTACCACTGGAGCCATGAACTGCCAGATTTTTGCCAAGTGATCTCTCTTATAAGTTATCGATGGATCAAAACATTTATGTTTTCTGCTCTTCTAAGTTTGTTTTGGTATGTTTCATGTCTCAGTATATGGTTGGTCTATATTTTTGGTTCTTCTGTGACCGTGAAACTCTGCTGTTGTTGGGTATCTGTTACAGCCAGTCTGTTGGGGAGTTCATTAAAGGCATTCCTCACCTGTGTTATTAAGATTCCTACCAGTTCTTTTGGCTCCTTCAAATTTTCATCTGTCTTCTAATATTACACTTCTTTCTCCATTAGATACCTTATCATATTTATCATAATTCATGCTCTTATTATTAAAGTCTAGCCCATGCATGCCTTATCAGAGTTTATTCCTGTTGTGCATTGTTTTTGAGTGTATATCTTTACTTTCTAATTGAAATCCAGAGATGATGTTAGGTAAAGAAATGGAGGTAAACAGGTGTGTAGGGTAAAATTTTGTGTGTATCTCGCTGTGCTTACTTTGCTTCAACTGTGGTTTTTGACATCTTGTTTTATTCTTTGGGTGTTCCTTAGAGATTTCTTAAATAGATTTATGTTCTTTAGTACATTGTGCAATTATTTCTGATGTGCTGGCTGTGCAATTATTTCAGTTTGTGCTGGTTGTGCAGCAAGTTTAGCTCCTGGACTTCAGTCCTGGGGAGCTTTGCTTCTCTAGGCTTCTCTGTGTTCAAGTGTATGTAGTTTTTCAAATTTTTAAATTGTTATTATAAAGTTGATGTACAGAGGGTTACATTCACAGAAGTCAGGTAAAGAGCACATTTCTTTTGGATAGTGTCACCCCTTGCGTCGCTCCCTCCCAGTGTATGTGGTTTTTGAAACAGCACTTTCCCCCTGACTTTAGTTCTCTTTTGGTTCTAAGAAGAGTTGGTTTTCTACATTGTCAGTGTTTTTGTTTTTTTTTTTCTCCTGAGGATGGATGTAATGATTTCAAAGCCTCATGTATGTGGTGCTCAAAACTGGAAGCCTTGATTTAGTTAGTTGCATTCTTTTTCTTCACTCCACATTCCCTCTCTGTGCAAGGAAGAAATAAGGTACTAATTTTTCTATATTGGTTCTGGAGTTTGAACTTAGGATTTGGGTGCTACCCCTGAGCTTTTTGTTCAAGGCTGGAACTCTACCATTTAAACCATGTCTCCACCTCTGCTTTTTGGTGGTTAATTGGAGACAAGAGTCTCACAGACTTTTCCTGCCTGGGTTGGCTTTGAGCCTTGACCTTTAGATTTTAACCTTCTGATTAATTAAGATTATAGGAATGAGCCACTAGCCCCCAGTCCTAAGAACTACTTTAGTTCTCAAACCCTGTTGATACTGAAGCACTGACTTTCAGAAATGATGGTTCTATTTTTGACATTTGTAACCTTTTTTTTAAATATAGGCAGATCTCCAGGTAGATAAAGAGAGGCACAATTTCTTCGAGTCTTCCCTTGATTACGTCTATCAAATCCAGGAAGTCCAGGAGTCCAAGAAGTTCAATATTGTGGAGCCAGTAAGTTCTCTCTGTTTATGAATATTACAGAAGTGTTTCACAGAAAGAAGACTATAAATGTGGAGAATTTTGATCATAAAATTTGGATCTCAAAAAAACTTGGAGCCAGGTGCTAGTGGCTCACACTTATAATCCTAAACTACTCAGGAGGCTGAGATCACAGTTGGAAGCCAGCCCAGGCAGCAAAGTCTGTGAGACTCTTTTCTCCAATTAATCACCAAAAAGCTACATATGGAGCTGTGGCTCAAGTGGTGGAGTGCTCACCTTCAGTTGAAGAGCTCAGGGACAGTGCCTAGGCTCAGAGTTCAAGCCCCATGACTGACCAAAAAAATAGTTGGGTTCTCAAGAGTGCAAATGACAGTCATACTACCTTGTATGTTTTTGCTCATTTACTAATACATTCCTTCTATCCCCCTCTCTTTTCCTCACTTTCCCTTCCCTCTCAGGTATTCCATTTTTGCTCAGTGACTATATTCTTTTGCCTCACTTTCTTTCCTTTCTCCTGCCTTCCCTTCCTCCATGTCTACCACTGTTGTTATTACCTTGTTCCTTTTTCTTACTCTCATGTTTCTAAAGAGCTTTGGACAGCAAATATCACATAGCAGATCCTCACGTCTCTCATTCCCCAGAGATACTCATTCTACAATTTTTATTCATTTTTCTGAGGCATACCCCATCCTATTGTGTGTGTGTGTGTGTGTGTGTGTGTGTGTGTGTAGTACACATGTCTATGTCAAATAGGTGTTGTAAATGTATGTGCATGTGTGCGCTATAGTCTCCTATGTTAATGCATATTAGTTTGTGACTACATAGGGAACTATTTCACCTATTGGCTTGCTAAGAATGGAGCATGATAGGCACCAGTGGGTCACACTTGTAATCCTAGCTACTCAGTAGGCTGAGATCTGAGGATTGAAGTTTGAAGCAAGCCCATGCATGAAAATCCATGAGCTCTTACCTCCAATTTGCTACCAAAAAAACAGAAGTGGAGCTGTGACTCAAATATTAGAGTACCAACCTTGAGAAAATACCCAGGCCCTGAGTTCAAGCCCCATTACTGACACAAATTAATATTTATAATTTGATAGAGAAATCGTATTTCCTTTTGCTTTTATTTATATATGTTGTTGGTTTTTAATGAGGTTGAAGGCTTTGAACATTTAAAAAATTTATTGTTGATCATTATTTTCTTCTGCAACCCCTGAAATGATTTGAAAATGGGGTAGTGTCCTTTGAGTGTTTGATACACTGGCAGTTTTCTTGGGTTATACTTTACTTTATCTATCTGACTGCTTATTTTTCCACTTACTCTGCAAATATTTTTGATCATGCACCATGTTTTAGTCCAAAGGATATTCAAGTAACAAACATCTTTTCTCTAAAATGCTTGGGAGGAACAGAAGTATTTTGAGTTTTAGATCTATTTTTTTATTTGAGAATATATATATATTCAATTATTCCGGGGAGCACGAAGGACACTTTCCCCATGTCCTCCACCAAGTCCGTCTCCAGGCATCTAGACCTTCGTCCAGATAGGGAAAGAGCTTCCTCCTTCCATCCTGGAGGCTGCAGCTGGGTACCATAACCTTTGCCAGGATTATGGAGGAGTTTTTTCAACGTTCACTAGCATACATAAACCTCACACAGCACACAAATGCTCAGGCGGGGTCATGGGAGTCTGTCTCCACAATGTGGCACTGAGGAATCGAACCCCAGGGCTTCATGCATGGTAGGCAAGCACTCTACCATTAAGCCACATTTCCAGCCCTTGGGAATATATTTATAATATTGAGAATAAGAAACTCTTTGGAGATGGGGTTCAAGTTTAAACATAAAATTCATTATTGCTCACGTAGCATGCATGAAACCCTGGGTTGGATTCTCTAGTACCCCATAAACAGAAAAAGCCGGAAGTGGTGCTGTCAGGGACAGAGCTGAGTCCCTAAGTTGAAGCCCCAGGTCCACCAAAAAAATCATTTAGGTTTTATCTACACTTTATATTACTGAGCTTAGGGTAATTTTGTACAGTCTTGCTTGTGTGCTTATATTTTGATAGAGACCTGTCACATGAAATCAGGTATAGAATTTTTTTATTTGTGGAATCTTGCAAATGTCTAAAAAACATCAGATTTTAGAGCATTTTAGATGTCAGATTTTTGGATTAGAGAGGTTGAACTGGTAGAGAGAAAAGATATAGTCATATGCTATCTCAATTAAGAATGGCTTTCTATGTGATCTGAACAAGATTCGGATGAATGAACTTACTATGTTTTTCTGAAACTGAGTCCAGGGTAAATATTGAAGCTAATATGAGGATAGTTACTTAAAGATCAGCTTGTGTTCACATGACTCCTAACACTGTCTTATCAAACATTGTGCCATTTCTTCTCTGAGTACATGGTTCCTTATTTGACTAATTAGAAGGTCCTGGTGATAAAGCTATTCTTTTATGTTTCCCTCAGGTCCTGGCCTTTCTTCATAGCCTCTTCATTTCCAACAGCTTGACTGTGGAGCTCACCCAGGATTTCCTACCATATAAGCAGCAGCTCCAGCTCAGTTTGCAGAATGTAAGTTGCTTGTGGGTTTCTTTCTTTGTTTTTGGGTCCGGTCGTGGGACCTGAACTCTGGGCCTGGGCGCTGTCCCTCAGCTCTTCAGCTCAAGGCTAGCACTCTACCACTTGTGCCACAGCGCCACTTCTGGCTTTCTTTTTTCTGCTTATGTGGTGCTGAGGAATTGAACCCAGGGCCTCAAGCATGCAAGGCAAGTGCTCTACCACTGAGCTACTTTCCCAGCCCATGAATAGCTTTTTTGTTGGTGGTGGTTGTGGGGCTTGAACTCAGGTCAATTTGACACTGTCCCTGAGCTTTTTTACTCAAGGCTAGCACTCTACCCATTTGAGCCACAGCACCATTTCTGGTTTTTGGGTGGTTAATTAGGGAAAAGATTCTCATGGACTTTCCTGCCTGGCTGGCTTTGAACCACAGTCCTCAAATCTTAGTCTCCTGAGTAGCTAGGATTACAGGTGTGAGCCACTGGCGCCCAGGATGAATGGCTTTTTAAAGGCCTATGTTCTTTTTCATTCTGGTTGTATTTAAAGTTATATTTATTTCGGGGCTACTGGTTTTGGCTCAGGGCCTCACATCTGTCAGGCAGTTGCTCTACCATTTGAGCCACACCCTTACTCTTGTTTTTTTGGTGGTTGATTGGATATAAGAGTCTCTTGGACTTTTTTGTCCTATCATATTTTTTGTTGTAAAGATGCTGTACAGAGGGGTTACAGTTACATGAGTAAGGCATTGTGTACATTTCTTGTTGAGCATTTTGGCCTACACTGGCTTTGAACTTTGATCCTCAGATCTCAGCCTCCTGTATATCTAGGATTACAGGTTTGAGCCTTCGGTACTTGGCTATATTCTTGTTTTCAAACTGTCCTTGAATTTGATCTAAGGTCAAGTAAATAGTAATTTTATTTGAGGAAGTGCTTAGAAATTGCCATAATAATATTATCTTTTACTTTCTCCCTAATCTCCCTTTTAAAGGAAGGATCAGCCTGGTTCTGGGAATAGAGTTACCTATTTGTGAGAGGCATTTATGTTATTTCCATTGATTAAAAATCACAAAACTTTCACTGGCTGCAGGCAACTCATGCCTGTAATTCTAGCTACTCAGGAGGCTGAGATCTGCGTATTGCAGCTTGAAGCCAACCTGGGCAGGAAAGTCCATGAGACTCTAATCCCCAATTAACCACTGAAAAGCTGGAAGTAGAGCTGTAATTCAAGTGGTAGAGAGCTAGCCTTGAGCAAAACTGTCAAGGACTGCACCTAGTCCCTGAATTCAGCCCCTGGACTGGCAGAAAAACAAAAGCAAAATTCTCAGATGTAGTTTTATGAGTATATTTCTATCTAAATTATTGTTTCACTTTTAGTATTTAATACCCTAAAATGCCATCACATTTCTTTCTAATTCTATGCTGTTCAACATTTTCTTTTTGCTATGTTTTATAGACATGCTTATCGAAGCAGAGAAATCAGTGTACCCAATCTATGATCAATAAATAGTTATTGATGATGATGGGGATGATAATTATGATAATGACGATGATGTCTTCACAGACAAGGAATCATTTCTCCAGTACCCGGGAAGAGATGGCAGAACTTAAGAAAAGGATGAAAGAAGCTCCACAGACCTGCAAACTTCCAGGACAGCCAACCATCGAAGGCTATCTGTACACACAGGAGAAATGTGTGTGGGCATCAGGGGCTATCCACTAGGTTACAGGGTGTTAACACAAACTGCCCCTTGACCTTTAACCTCTAGCTTCTCAATGGTTGGGAGGGGCAGAATAGTTAAAGTGAAAAGGAGAGGAAGTTAAAGAGTCATACAGATTCCATCATGCTAAGGCTTAACATTTTCACTGAAATTATTGTGAGGATAATTTGTTGTTTAATTCTCCCAATGACTCCTTTGGGACCAAGAAGAGAAGTAGAAGAAAGGAGGGAGAAAAGTAATATTTATGACATCCATAATGTGCCAAGTGTAGAGCTGGGGAATTTAAAGGTACTCTCTCATTTAATCTTATTTTGCACAAGCAGCCACCCAGGCTCAGTAAAGTCACCATTTGGGTCCTTCAGATATAGCAAATGGGACACCTAAAGATGAGTTCCTTTGTGTGACATGCCCAAATCCTTGTTCCTGCTTCAGTAATCTCTGATTCCTGCCATGTTTTTTGTGCTGGGGCTTGAGATTGCGGTCTTGCACTCTTGCTTAGCTTTTCTGCTTAAGGCTGCTGCTCTATACTTGAGATTTACCTTCACTTCCAGTTTTTGCTGATAGAATTAAGAGTTTCATGGACTTTTCTGCTTGGACTACTTTTGAGTCATGATCTCTAAATCATAGCCCCTGAGTAGTAAGCTGCCAGTGTCTGCCTTATCTCTATCATCTTTAACCCTTAGATCCAGTGGTTGCTCTTAAGGAATTTAATGTGATATTTGTGTGTGTGTGTGTGTGTGTGTGTGTGTGTGTGTGTGTGTGTAAGAGAAAGAGAGAATAATATTTCTCATGCTAAATGGAAAAAATGACAGAGCATTCAAATCTTCTTAACCTCCTTACTAGCATTTTGCAAACCTGTGTGTGTGTGCTATTTGCTTTGTTTTTTGAACTGTAACCCAATTGCCCCAAAGCCTGTGATTTTAGTCCATGCCCATTCATTTCCCTGGGGAACAGGCAGAAGAGAAACATCTGGAGTTAACTGGTGGCACACAGAGCCACCATCACAGTCCCAAAGCATGGAACTTGTGCAGTGGTATGATCCAAGAGCAATTACTGCCTGATAGTTTTCAAAAATGGATTTCATTTCTTGTCAGATTTCACTTCTTTCCAGGTAGACTGGATGTCTTGAAGGCTCAGTCCTGTGCATCTCAGTGTGGTTGGCAGCATCACAATTCTCTCCTCATCTTTGTTGCCAGCACTCTCCAGCTCTGATTACCTGCAATGTACCCAGGCATTACAAAACATCCCCTGTGGGACAAAGTTATGAGAGAGAGGGGGAGGTGGAGGGGGGGAGAGATTGACTGATTACTGGGACTTGACCACAGGGCCTTGAGTTTTTGCATGTTTTTTTCACGCAAGGCTGATGCTCTACCACTTGAAGCACAGCTTCACTTCTGGCTTTTCACTTGTTTATTGGAGATAAGATTTTCATAGGCATTTCTGCCCCTGCTAGTTTTGAACCTTGATTCTCAGCCTCTCGAGTAGCTAGGATTACAGGTGTGATCCACCATTGCCTAGAAGATGGGCATGACGTTGCTATTCAGTTGAGCATATGCTTTTTGAGCAATGTGTCTGTCAAAATGTATGCAACGCATGAAAGTGAAGGTGTGGCTTAAGTGGTAGAGTACTAGCCTTCAGTGAAAAAGTTAAACAAGAGAGCAAGCCCCTGAATTCAAGCCTCAGTACCAGCATGCAAAAACAAACAGATAAGTCCCCAAAATATAAACAAGCAAAACACAAATGAAAAGAAACTATATATGAATTAAGGATACAGATGGATCAACCCTGGTTTTTGTACTCAAGGAATTCATAGTGGGCTGGGGAAATAAACAAATATGTTAATGAAATATATTCAGCTTTCCTTTGGGATATAGCATATACCTAGGGGCTTCTGTGATAAAGTGATGTTTAAAATTTAACTTCGATGTTAAGTAGGAGTGTGACAAGTGAAGAAACAAAGGAAGAGAATTCCAGGTGTATTGCTTCTGTATGAGGAAAGGCACAGGAATGTGAGAACACATAGTTTATTTGTAGGGTCCTAGTTGGACAAAGGCAGATGTGGTTCATACCCATTTCCCTGATTTGATTATTAATGCTGTACCATATGCTCTTTGGTCTTTCTCCTCTTCTTTTGTTAGTACTGTGGATTGAACTCAGGGTCTCATACTTGCTAAAAAGTTGCTAGGTCCATTTAAACGATGCCTTCAACCTTATATACTATTTTTGGCAAGGTTTGAACTCAGGGCCTTAAGCTCTTACTTGGCTTTCTTGCTTATAGCTGATGCTCTACCACTTGATCCAGGCCTCTAGTCCTGCATTTTTCTGGTTTATTAGAGATAGAGTCTGACTAACTTTTCTGCTTAGGCTGCTTATGAACTTTGATCTTCTGGATCTCAGCCTTCTGAGTAGTTAGGATTATGTATGTGAACAACCCAGCTCTGTTCACTTTCAGTATGTCCTGGCTTTGAACTCTAAATTATACGGCCATTTCTGGATTTGGGAAATAGTTGTTATCCATTGAAACAAATATAAATATGTGGTACCAAAGGCAAAGCTGGCATAGTAAGTTTTGATCATGTTATGAAAGCTTTTCTAGGTAGACTGAGGAGTTTGGAGATGTTGATAACCGCATGAATGGTTCATAGTAAGGGGAATGACATAGATATTCTGGTTGGGGGGGGGGCAGGACTTGAGCTCAGACACTTGGGACTGTCCCTAAGCTTTTGCTCAAGACTAGCACTCTACCACTTGAGCCACAGCTCCACTTCTGGAATTTTGCTAGCTAACTGGAGATAAGAGTCTCACAGACTTTCCTGCTTGGGTGGGCTTTGGATCCTGATCCTCAGATCTCAGCCTCCTGTGTAGCTAGGATTATAGACCTGAGGTACCAAGAGAGATATTTTTAGTGTTCCTATAGCATAGCAAAGGAAAGGAATGAAGAATAACTGGTTGTGGTGTCTCTTTCCTGTCATCTCAGTTACAGCAGGAGGCCTAAATAGACAAAGAGTAATCAAAGACAGCCCAAGCAAAAATGTGAGACCCTATCCCAAAAATAACAAAAGCAAAAAAAGGGCTGGCTCAAGTGATTGTGTGCCTATCTTGAAAGACCAAAGCTCTGAATTTCATCCTCTGTACTACTGGAAAAGAGTGATCTGAGATGGAGAAATAAGAGAAGTCCATTGAAATAATTATTTGGAAAAAATACATTTTTGTTTTGTTGGGCATGTATGATAAAAATTAAAAACAAAGCTAACTAATTCAATGCTGAAGGGGATGGTGAAGAAGACACAGATGAAGGATAGCCATGTAGTAGATAGGAGGGGACAGTCCAGTGACCAATCAAATAATAGATTCTTGCGGACCTGGCAGGAAGCATGGGTTTGGAAAAGCAAGCCGGGAACACATGTAGAAGACAGTTAGGGAAGGCTAACATCTTTTTGGGTGCAGTGGGCAGGTTGCCAGGTAAAGCTTGGGGGAGGGCAAGCTGGGTCTTAAGCTTGGCCATGAAGGGCAAGCAGTAATTAACCTCAGACTTAGGGAGCTAAAGCATTAATTCTGCCAACTCAGTTTTGCCTGTCTTTGTAGGGGCTCTGGGGATCTCCTGGGTGAAATACTACTGCCAGTATGAGAAAGAGACCAAAACACTCACCATGACACCCATGGAACAGAAGCCAGGTGCTAAGCAGGTCAGTTTTTGTTTGGAGATTCATCTGTGACTGCATCTCAAAAAAGATTATCTGTCAACTCCTTGTTAAATAATCAGGCCCAGCACTGTCATGTGAAGCTGGACATACTATGTTCTTCTTGGCCTAAGTTGGCACTGGGCTATGTGTCATCCAGTTGTGTAAAAGAAGAAAATTATCATTTATTATTCTAATGTCTGCTAATGGAACAAAGAGAATAAACAAAAGTATGGACACATTGCTTTTATAGCTTTACTATAGTATTTTTCTTTCTTTTTTTTCCCTGCCAGTCCTGGAGCTTGAACTCAGGGACTGGGCTTTGTCCCTGAGACTCTCTGTGCTCAAGTTTAGCACTCTACTACTTGAACCACAGCATCACCGGCCTTTTCTGTTTATGTGTTATTGAGGAATTGAACCAGGGCTTCATGCATGCTAGGCAAGCACTCTATCATTAAGCCACATTCCCAACCTATAGTATTCTTTTTTTAAAATTTAATTTAATTTAATTTTTTTTTTATTGTAAAGATACTATACAGAGGGTTACAGTTACATGAGTGAGGTAATGAGTACACTTCCTATTGAACATTGTTACCCCCTCCATTGTTTTCCCCCTAGCATCCCTTCCCTCCCTACCTTCCCCGAGGTTCTTTTTTTTGATTGTGATTCAGTGATTACATAATTTCCCGAATTTCACAGTATTGTGGAATAATGATGCTCATTTAAAATCACAAGTTCATTCTAACTTTCCTGGAGCCCTATAGTATTCTTTTTTTTTTTTTTTTTGGGGTCCGGTCATGGGGCCTGAACTCTGGGCCTGAGCACTGTCCCTCAGCTCTTGAGCTCAAGACTAGCGCTCTTCCACTTGAGCCACAGTGCCACTTCCGGCTTTTTTCTTTTTGCTTATGTGGTACTGAGGAATCGAACCCAGGGCCTCTGGCATGCAAGGCATGCGCTCTACCACTGAGCCACCTTCCCAGCCCGCCCTATAGTATTCTTTTAAGTAGCAAATATGACAAATATGAAACGATTTCCAGAATTCCTTTTATTTATTTTTTATTTTAAATTTTTTATTATCTTTAAGTAGTTGTACAAAGAAGTTCCCATTCTACAAAATAGTATATAAATGCAAAGTGTCTGATAACATTGTCACCCATCGCTCCTAACCCATCCCTTCTCACTTTTCTTCTTTTTTTAAAATTGAGATTAGGTGATTACATATATTTCACATATTTCACAGTGTTGTGGAATAGTGATACTTAGTTAAGGTCACAAACATTTTAACCTTTTCAAGGCAAATTGTCACTATCATGGCTTCTAAAGTTTGTGAATTCTGTGAGCTTTGACAATACAATTATTTCTTCGACATCAGGTGATTATTTATATTTCTTTCCTTTCGCTTAGTGTAAGCTGTTCCCTCTTCCTCCCTTCCTATCGCTGTCTTTGGGTTGCTTAGTTCATTTTCATCTATGTCCAGTGCAGGTGTATGTCTCTTGTATGTTTTCCTGTTTCCCACTGATTCTGTGTTCTCCTAGCTTCCCTCCATTGCATGCACACGCACGCGCGCTCACACACACACACACACACACACACACACACACACACACACACACACATACACGTGGTCAAGAACATGTAATATTTAGCAATGATATGACAAAATGAGTGGCAGTCCTTTGTTTCTCCAGTCCTGTTTACTTTATCATATCTCCTTACATTTTGTCTTTAGCATCCACATATCCGGGAGACCATGCACCATTTGTCTCTTTGTTCTTGGCTTACCTCACTTAAAATGATTTGCTATAGCTCCATTCATTTCCCTGCAAATGTCATTATTTTGTCCTTTCTAATGACTGCATAATATTCCTGTTAGGTTTTTAAAAAGAGGTAGCCAAGTAAGAATCACACCACGCACGTGGTATTCAGGTAAGGAGTAGGTTTATTCATCGTTCCAGCTGATGCCAGGCCCGGTTGGCACTCCATGCGGCTGGGAAAGAGCCCTGGGCAAGAGCTGGGAAAGAGAGCTGGGAAAGAGCAGGAAAAGAGCTGAGAAAGAGAGCATCTGGGCCTGGGCTAGGCCTTATCTAGGGTATGGGTGGAGAAAGGTGTGGCCACATCAAATTCAGATGTTACCTCAGCAGATGCAGGTGTGACCTCTTCCAGGTGTGCCAGTTGCCTAGGTTATGCAGGTAATGGGTGGAGGGTGGAGTCTGCTCGCCATCCAGGAGTGGACCTTACAATTCCATTGTATATAGGTACCACAATTTTTGGATCCACTCACCAATAGTGGGGCATCAGGGTTGTTTCCATATCTTGGCTATTGTGAATAGTGCTGCAATGAACATGAAGGTGCATGTGTCCTTGTATCCTGGTTCCTGTTGCTCAAGGTAGATGCCTAGGAGTGGTATGGCTGGGTCATAAGGGAGGTCTATGTTTACCTTTCTGAGGACCCTCCAGACTGCTTTCCAAAGTGGTTGTATTAATATACATTCCCACAATGCAGTAGCATTCCTCTTTCTCCACGTCCCCTCCAGTATTTATTGTTGGAAGAATTTAAGATGTGGGCCATTCTGACTGGGCTAAGGTGGTATCTCAAGGTTTATTTGCATTTCCTTTACAGCCAGGGATGATGAACATTTCCCTTGTCTTGATATTTTGCTGGTAAATATTTTTTTCCCAATTAGTTGGCTTTCTCTCTAGTTTGGTTGCTATGTCTTTAGCTGTGCAGAAACTTTTTTATTTTAAGGTAGTTACACTTATCATGTCTCTCTCCAATTTGTTGTGACCCTGGGACTCTGTTCAGGAAGTTCCTCCCTGTGCCTATAAGTTCAAGTGTCTCTCCTACTCTGTCCTGCAGTAGTTTCAGAAGTTCAGGTTTGATGTTAAGGCCTTTAATCCATTTTGAGTTGATGTTAGTGCATGGTGACAGGCTAGGGTACACTTTTAGTTTTCTGTATGTAGCTGTCCAGATTTCCTAACACCAGTAGTTGAAGAGGCTGTGTTTCTTCCACTGTATGTCTTTGGCTCCTTTGTCAAATATCAACTGACTGTACATATGTGGTTTTATTTCTGTTTATTTATAATTTGTTCCATTGGTCTTCTGGTCTCTTTTTGTACCAGTACCAAGCTGTCTTTATTATTATGGCTCTATAGTAGAGCTTAAAATCCAGTATCATGATCCCTTCAGCATTCTTTCTTTTGTCTAGAATTGTTTTGGCTATTCTAGGTCTTTTGTTGTTCCATATAAATTTTTGGACTGTTTTCTGTATTTCAGTAAAGTATGTCATTGGCATACTTTACAATTACAATTGGCATACTTTGCAATTACAATTAATGTAATTGCATTGAATTTATATATTTATTTTGGAAGTATGGCCATTTTCACTATATTAATTCTGCTTATCGAGGAACATGGGAGGTCTTTCCATTTCCTGGTGTCCTCTAGGATTTCTTTTTTTAAAGGCTTTTATAGTTTTCATGATCCTTTACATCTTTGGTTAGGTTAATTCCTAGATTTTTTTTTTTTTTTTGAGATTATTGTGAATGGGGTTGTTTCCTTGATTTCCCATTCTGCTTATGCATTGTTGGTATACAGAAAGGCGGCTGATTTTTGTGGGTTAATTTTGTATCCTGCTACTTTGATAAAGTGGTTTATAAGGTCTAAGAGTTTGGGGGTGGAGAGTTTGGGATCATTAAGATATAAAATCATGTCATCTGCAAAAAGAGATAGTTTAGCTTCTTCTTCCCCTATGCTGATCCCTTTAATGTCTTTTTCTTGCCTTTAGAAGAGGAGTGGGAAGCATGGGCATCCTTGCCTTGCTCCTGTTTTTAAGGGAATTGGTTGTAGTTTTTCCCCATTAAGTATAATATTTATAATATTGGCTATTGGTCTTTTGTGTAAGGTTTTTATTGTTTTAAGGAATGTTCCTTCTATTACTATTTTTTCCAAGAATTCCTTTGTTTAAAGCTGTGTGTTGGTGTAAGAATAGTTTAAACTCACATTTCTAGGTAACCTTTACATATCATTTAACACATACTAGCTCTTACCCTGCCTCTCAAAAATTGCCTGGTAAGTCTACCAGACTGAGGGGGTAGCTTACTCAATTGGGAGAACACACATTCATAGATGTGACTGAAGGTCAAAACTGTTTACATTCTAAAAGTAGTTACCATGTCTCTTTCCAATATGACTTGCTTTCTTACATGCTGTTAGTGCCTTAGTTGAAGAATTTCCATGATACATGGCAACATTCACTTGTTACCGAGAAGACCCAATTTTGGAAGGCAGCAATTAGGAGGGAAATTAGACCAATTTCTGTTCATCAGTGGTGCTTTCCATAGGTGATCTCCTCTGGGGGCTTGTTTGTACAACATAAGAGGGGATTGAGATTTGGTGGAAGGCTGTAGAAAATGACGTTTTTCTTTGGATCACATGGTAAGTCCAGTATTAGACTTTTAAAAAGGAAGCTCTATAATGATATATATAGTAGGTTCATTAATCTACATTCTTAAGGTGTTTGAGTGGTCCTGTCCCCCTGCATCCTTGCCAACATTTTCTATTTTTGTTTTTATGGAAGATAGCCAATTGGAGTGACATTTGCATTTCTGTTTTTAAGAACTGTTCAGTTCATTAGCCCACTTGTTATTTGGATTATTTATTTATTTGTTTATTTAGTGCTGGTAGTGGGTCTTGAACTGAGGGTTTTATGCTCTTGCTTGGCTATTTTGCTCAGTGCTGGTGCGCTCCTACTTGAGCCACAGCTCCCTTCTGACATTTTGCTGGTTACTTTTTTTTGCCTGTCCTAAGGCTTAACTCCAGGCATGGGAGCTTCTTTTGCTCAAGGTGAGCATTCTACCACTTGAGCCACAGTGCCACTTCTGGCTTTTTTTTCTTGATTGTAGGGCTTGAAGTTGGGGCCTGAATGCTGTTCTTGAGCTGCTTTGCACTTAGGCTAGCACTCTACCACTTGAGCCACAGTACCACTTTTGGTTTTTGAGTGGTTGATTGGAGATAAGAATCTCACAGGGACTTTTCTATTTGGGCTGGCCTTGAATAGTAATCCTCAGATCTCAGCCTCCTTATTACCTAGCATTATAGGTGTCAGCCACTGGCACAGGCTTTTTTATGTTTAAAGTTTTTCTTTTAGCCATGCTGGGGCTTGATCTTGGTCTCATGCCTACTAGGCAGGCACTGTACCATTTGAACTATGCCCTAGTCCTCTCATCCATGTTTTTTTTTTTTTTTTTATTGGAGAGTCATTTAGTCACTTATGACTTCAAAGAATCACTATTTCCAGTCTGCTAATTGTCAAAGTGCCTTTTAGCATGGCTTCAATAAATTTACCATGTGTTAAGCCACAGAGTTGTCCTAAGCCAGCCAGAACTCAGCTGATGTATCTGAGCAGCAAGTCTTTATTAAGTAACTCTTTAACTTGCATTTTTCTACGCACATTACTTTCTAAATCATGGACATTAAAACTTCTCTCATCTGGGTGTTGGTGGCTCATGCCTGTAATCCTAGCTTCTCTGGAGGATGAGATCATAGGATGGAAGTTGAAAGCCGACCATGGTAGGAAAGCCCGTGAGACTTTTATTTTCAATTAACCACCAAAAAAAAAAAAAAGAAGAAAGTAAAAGTATAGCATAGCTCAAGTGACAGAACACCAGCCTTGAGCATAAAAAGCTAAGGGTCTAAGTTCAAGCCCTAGAATCAGTGGGCGTGCTTGCATGCACACATGCATACAGGTGTCACTTAGGCCCTTCCTTCCTTGCTGAGAAGTGAATATTGCAAAGAGCAAAATGAAATGCATATATACTGACTTTATCTCTGCCTAGCAAATGAGAACAAGGCTTCCACTTAGGTTTTATTTCCTTCTTGCTTTTTTACTGGCTACCAGCTGGCAAAACTGCAATGGTGTCTGCCTAACCAACTGCAATGCAGAATTCCTCAGGGAACAGGAAGAGGAACTCAGCTTACCATTTAGAAGGCAGGAATGGGGCTGTACTAATTCCCCAAGTTGGAAGTAGAAATAATTTCTTATTGTTCTTTGACTTGCTTCCTAGTATTGGTCCATGTTTCTGAAATGTAAATAATATAAATGATGCTAGGATAATAGTAGTATTTTTAGAGCTAAACTCTGTTCTATCATGTGCCTTATTTTCTCTCCCAGAACTACATTGAACTAGGTGTCAGAACCACAGTTTGATACTGGAGGAATTGACATTTTGGACTGACACTTACCAGTGTCTCCTGCTAGCTCATCCTGCCAACTCTCATTTGTGTTGTACTGGTCACCTTGTCAATAGTATTTTATTGGATCCTTGTCCTTCTCATCCTTCCCATATTAGAAGTTTTGGGCACTGGGGGCTTGCACCTGTAATTCTAGCTACTTAGGAGGCTGAAATCTGGTGATCATGTTTTGAGGTCAGCCCAGGCTGAAAAGTTCATGGGTCCGTCTCCAAAATAACCAGCAAAAAGTAGGGCTGGAGACACAGTTCAACTGGTAGATCACCAGCCATGAGCAAGCCAAGCAAGCATCAGGCCCTGAGTTCAATCCCCAGAACACACACACACACACACACACACACACACACACACACACACACACACACACACACACACACACACACACACACACACACACACACACACACAGATTAAGGAATGAGGGTAGATAGATTATGGTATGGAGAAAGAAGAATAGAAAGAATGCTGTAGTTTGAGCTTGTTCAAGACCTGTTTTTCAATCCTAGCTTTATGGTATACTTGAGTTTTGAGCTTGAGTAAATTACCTGATGTGAGCTAGGCAACTCTGGCTTACACCTGTAATCATAGCTACTCAAAAGGGTGAGATCTGAGAATTTTGGTTCTAAGCCTGGGCAGGGAAGTCTGTGAGACTCTTATTTCCAATTAACCACCAAAAAGCCAGAAGTTGGAGTAATGGTTCAAGTGGTAGAGTGCTAGCCTTAAATGCAAAAGCTCAGGGATAGTGTCCAGGCCGTGAGTTTAAGCCCCAGGACCGGCACAAAAATTACTTAATGTGACTTTGTCTACTTATCAGAAAAGGGGCAAGGACAATGATTTAGTTGAGAAACATTTATTGAGAACTAACTGTTTGCTAGGGTACTAGAGCTATAAAAATGAACAAGAGGGGTTGGAGGTGTGGCTCAGTTGGTAGAATTCTAGCCAATGAATGAAAGAGATCACAGGTATAGACTTCAAGTCCTGCTTGCAGGACTTGAAGAATCAGATGTGAAAACAAGAAATTATAATATGAAGTTCAGGGGCTGGGAAGGTGGCTCAGTGGTAGAGCGCTTGCCTTGCATGCATGAGGCCCTGGGTTCGATTCCTCAGCACCACATAAGCAAAAGAAAAAAGCCGTAAGTGGCGCTGTGGCTCAAGTGGTAGAGCGCTAGACTTGAGCTGAAGAGCTGAGGGACAGTGCCCAGGCCCAGAGTTCAGGCCCCATGACTGGACCCGCTCCCCCAAATAATAATAATATGAAGTGCAAATTGCAGAATGTGTACTGGATGTGGCTTGGGGTGGGGGGGCGAAGATTGTGGAGGAAATGAAATATAAAGGGTGGTTTTTAGAACAAGTAAGAGTTATACTAAAGCTAAGAACACAAAGTCACTTAGGGTGAGGAGAACAATCTATTCCAGGTCATGGTATCATAAAAAGGTACCATGTGTATGACATGAGTATTTTTTGTGCTTGTACTGGGACTTGAACTCAGGGCTTGGGTGATGTCCCTTTTTCATTCACAGCTAGTACTGTACCACTTAAGCTGCACTCTACTTCTGGATTTATGGTGGTTAATTGGAGATAAGAGTTTATCTGACTTTCCTGCCTGAGGTGGCTTTAAACCTTGCTTCTCAGATCTCAGTCTCCTGAGTATCTAGGATTCTAGTTGTGAGCCACTGGCACCCAGCCATCCTCCATTTCATTTTTCAAGCTGCTAATTCTTGTCTCCTATCAGGGGCCCTTGGATTTAACCTTGAAGTACTGTGTAAGAAGGAAGACAGAATCCATTGACAAGAGGTTCTGCTTTGATATAGAAACCAATGAGAGGTAAGTTGGGCTGTGAGCTGCTGTGGAATGACCATGTCCTAGGTGCCACAAACAGAGCCTGGATGGGTCTTTTATTTTCCTCTTACATTCCTTGATGAAAACAAGCAAGTATGTCTAAGGCAGTGTTTTCTGGATTCTCCAGTCTGCCGTTCACAGGGATCCCTGCTGGACTTGGTCTAAGGCTGCTTTTCTCTGTGAATACTTTAGATTTCTATTATCTGCTGTGGGTAGAAAGAATCTCTCAGGATTTAGTTTGCCATCACATACACATAAAAAAGTGTTCCAGATACTTCTGTAGCTGGATAAGTGTATTAACTCACAGCTTATATAGAGTTGCAGATTTTGGATTTGGAGGCACTGTTTCTCTCCATTGCCACCTTTTTTCTTTTCTGAACTCAAACAGCTTTATTTAAGGAGATTGTGTGTGTGTGTTTGTGTGTGTGTGTGTGTGTGTGTGTGTGTGCATGCACATGTGCACACACATGTGTGCAATCCATGTTTGAACTGAGGGCCTTTGCTTCCAAGAGATAGTGCCTTCCTTCTGCTTCTTCCAGAGAGACCAAACCCATTCTTTCAAGTCTTTTTATATGGTTTCTAATCCTATCCACTTGGGTTCCAACTCTCATGACTTAGTCACTTCCTGAAGTCCCCAACTTCTGAAGTCCTTCTTATTAAAGCTTAACTTTCAGTACATGAATTTGGGGTGAGAATTCAGACCATAGCAGATGGCCTACAAGTACGCAGCAGCCATATGCCAAGCAGATGAGGCCTAATAGTGTAGTAGTTAAAAATGTTGCTGCTAGCTGAGCACCATTGGAGCAATTCTTATAATCCGACCTATTTGGGAGGCTGAGCACAGAAAGATCATGGTTTGAAGAAAGCTTATGTAGAAAAGTTTGTGAAAGGGGCTGGGAGGGTGGCTCAGTGGTAGAGCACTTGCCTTGCATGAATGAGGCCCTGGGTTCAATTCCTCAGCACCACATAAGGAGAAAAAAAGCCGGAAGTGGTGCTATGGCTCAAGTGGTAGCATGCTAGCCTTGATCTGAAGAGCTGAGGGACAGCGCCCAGGCCCAGAGTTCAGGCCCCCACGACTGGACACCCCCCCCCCCCCCCCAAAAGTTTGTGAGATTCCATTTGCACAGAGGGAAGTGGATTAGGTGGTGTGGGCCTGTCCTCTTAGCTATGATGGAAGACTAGGTAGATCAAAGCTCAGGCATGTTCAGGTGGAAAGTAAGTCTGTATCTCTAAAGTAATAAGTGAAAAGCAAGGCTAGTGGTGTGGTTCAAGTGATAGAGCACCAGCCTAACAAGCATAAAGCCCTAAGTTCAAACCTTGGTACTGCTAAGAAAGAAAAGAAGGAAGGAAAGAAGAAAAATATGGGTGGAGGGCCAAACTTTCCGAAATTAACTTCCTCTACTGCTGTGTGACCTTTGGATAACCTCTCCGTGCTTCGGCTTCCACTTCAATATGATAGAAATGATTACTGTTACAACTGTTTCAAGGCTTGTGAGATACATTAAATGTGTTAATACATGTAACTCTACTTAGGACAAGACCTGGAACCTAGTTACAATTCAGTATCATTATTGAATAATAGTCATCATCATTATGTTGTCCATCAGCTAGAACATTCTCCCTGTTGCTGAGGCAGGCTTCATATGGCTGAGATTTTTTTTTCTAGCTTCTTGGCTCTCCTAGGTGGTAGAAAGGGCCATTTCCCTGACAGATAAATGTGGCTACAATGTACACACTCACCCTGAGAGTCCAGACTATGTGCATATCTTCCAAAGAGAGGACAGTTCCCACACAGTGAAACCATTTTACATGTGCCCTGTGGGGTGAGGTATCTTGACATCTGCCTTCCTGTTTCTTTGCTGGACCTGGCATGGGACCACCATGATACTACTTCCCCCAGATTTCCCAGAGTTACTCTTCTCTCAGTGGCCCATCATTGTTCTAGTTAAAGGAGATTTGTGTGTGTGTGTGCGCGCGCGCGCGCGTGCATGCATGCGCGCACATGCATGCCCGTACTGGGGCTTGAACTTAGGGCCTGAGCATTGTCCCTTCATTTTTTCCACTCAGTGCTGGTGGCCATAGCTTGTTCTGCTTCTGGATTTTTGTTTGTTAATTGAAGATAAGAGTCTTATGGACTTTTCCTGCCTGGGTTGGCTTTGAATCCCCATCCATAGATCTCAGCCCTCTGAGTAGCTGGGATGACAGGCATGGGCCACTATCTCCTTGCTTCTTAAAGGCAATTTTAAACGCTTAAAATTTTCTGAGTCTGTTCCCCAAGTCCATTCATTGGGATACCTCCCAAGGAAGAGAGTAATCCTAGATCACAAGAATCTACTTTCTCACATGCGTTTTCTGCTTTTAACATTTTTTTTTTTTTGTTCTCAGGCCAGGAACCATCACTCTGCAGGCCCTTTCTGAAGCTAACAGAAGACTATGGATGGAAGCCATGGATGGGAAAGAACCTGTAAGTTACCTCCCACACCAGGGAGACCCAAGCAGCATAAACCTGTGTAATGCGCCCTCTAGTGGTATCTGTGGCTCAACGACAGTGACTGATTGTAGATGCTTCAGATTCAAATATTCTGGTGGAATCCTTTCACTTCATTATTTAGCAAATGAGCCAGCTGAGTTCTTGAGAGGGTGAGGAACTTGTCTGGGATCACCTTCAGAGAAGTCAAAGTTTCCAGTTCCAGTGTTAAATGATGTAGCTATTAATGTCCATATGACAGCAAACAAAATGAAGGCCTCCCCCCTGCCTTTTTTCCCCTTTCAGATTATAAAATGAAGGTGCTCAGATAGAAAGCTAGAAAATAATTGTTATGGCTGTGAATAAGCATTTATGAAGTTTTCATTGGAAATGATTTTTCTTCCCGTTCTTATGCTCCCTGCTGCTTTAGTCTCTGTCAGGGTTTATCTGGGGGTAGTGATAGAGTTGCATACAGTATCTGAGGATACTTCATGTAGAACACTGTTGCCCAGCTGGACCAATGATCCCTCAAAAGATTTAGTGATTAGCTGCCCATTGGTGGCTCATGCCTGTACTCCTAGCTATTCAGGAGGCTGAAATATGAGGATCATGGTTTGAAGACAGTCCAGACAGACACAGCTGAGAGGTTTTTATTTCCAATTAACTAGTGAAAAAAGCCTTAAACGGAGCTGTGGCTCAAGTGGTAGAGCCCCAGCCATGAGCCAAAAAGCCCAACGAGAGCATGAAGTCCTAAGTTCTAACCCTTGTACTGGCACACACAAAAAAGTGATTTTCCCACAGAGACCAAAAAGAACTGTTAGACATTAGTGAAAAGCATTGTATTTTCAGTGTCTTGTCGAGTTGAGATCTCTTAGTGGCATATGACAAAATCTAGCTTTCTCTTCTTGGAAACAAACAAAACTATATACGGATCCTGAATCTGCCATTAAATAGTTGTGATTGCAGCAAGTCATGTCATATCTCTGCTTTTTCATTTCTTCTTTCTAGTCAACTCCACCTGCCTCACATAGTTGCTTAGAAAAATCACAAGAAAACCATTCTGTACCTGCCACTGTGTTGTATTTGTTTTGGGTGCTCCTTCCTGACCTGGAGGATGGGCTAAATCACTGAAGTTCAGCAGGATTCGAACACAATGTTAGATCCTTGCTTTATTCAAGTCAACAGTAGGCAGTGCATTCTAGGGTTTTCTTTCTTTCGCTCCTCAGTGCCCTGGAGAACAGAAGAGTGAGCAGCTCTCACATTATATTTGCAGCAACCAGGCAGGTAGCAAGAGAGAGAACTGGTAGCAAAGACTGCCATCCAGTGGACCAAGACCTGTCTTTCCTCTGGTCACTTTCCAGATTCTTGATGTTTGACTCTTTACTATGTCTGTGAGATTTGTAAGGAGGTATGAGGAAGCTCAGAAAGGCATTTTGCTCTCCATTCTGTTTCCAGCATTTGCCCTCCTGTAACGTTTTTAAAGATTGAAGGATATCAATGTCTCCTTGTGGAGAATGATGCTAACTGATTCTGCTTGTCTCCCCATAAAGCTCTTGTTTATATAAGCAGCTGCAAAGGAGAGCTGGGTGTGGTAGCTCAAACTTGTAATCCTAGGGCTCAGAAGGCATAGATTGCAGGATTTTGTTTTGAGGCTAGCCCAAGCAGAAAACTTTAGGAGACTCCATATTAACCAATGGTGTGGAAAGGTTTTGCCTTTTCTCCCATCTATAGAGGAAGCACAGTTCTGGATGTAGTGGTGGGACCTGTAATCCACACTGATGTGGGAAAGCACAAATAGGAGCATTGCAGGTTGGCCCAGACATAAAATGAGATCTCCCCACTGAAAATAACAAATGCCCAAATGGACTGGAGGCATGGCTCAAGTGATAGAGCAACTGTGTAGTGAGTGTAGGCCCTGAGTTCAATCCCTAATATTGTAAGGAATAAAAAGGGAAGCTAGCAAGTACAGAAATATATCCCAATGAAATATCCAATGCACATATGAGAACCTGTTCAAGCCTTAGGTAACAGAAGGCATATGGAATATTCATTTCCTGCAGCTGAACACTTCCATTGTTGCCATTTCACTCAACACACCAACCCATTGACATTACACAGTACATGCACGAATGGATTGAAGTGTCATCTATTCAGACCCTGATCCCTGCCCGTTTTTTTTTTGTCAGTTGTGGGGCTTGAACTCCCAGCCTGTGAACTATCCTCAGCAATTCAGCTCAAAGCTAGTGCTCTACCACTTGAGCTGCCGCGCCACTTCCGGGTTTCTGATGGTTAATAAGAGTCTCGTGGACTTTCCTGCCCAGGCTGACTTTGAACTTTGATCCTCAGATTTCAGCCTCCTGAGTAGCTAGGATTAGAGGTGTGAGCCATGGGTGCCTGGCCTTCCTTTTTGTTGTCGTTGTTGTTGCTTGTGGAGCTTGAACTCAGGGCCTGGTAAATGTGTAAGATGAATTGGTCATAGCCTTAGGTACAGTGAATTGCTGTAATCAAATGTAATTCTCAGGGACTGTGGATTTTTGTTTTGCAGGGTTCTGGTCCAAGGTGATTCTGTTTTGCCCATTTCCCCTCTTATTCCAGCCCTGGAGTCTGTATAATAATTTTGGTTGCCTATCTGGGGAAAATGACTTAATACTATTTGTTGTACTTAACCTGCAGTGATTCACAATAGCCATGTTTGTTTCTGTTTCTTTTCTCTTATAGATCTATCACAGCCCCATAACGAAACAGGAAGAAAGTGAGTCATTCAAGTTTCTGCCCAGTCCTACTAGCTGCTGGCATCAATGCTATGTACAATTCATTCAAATCTGTTTATGGATGCCACTGTGGGAATGAAATTCAATATTCTATCTGTTGATTAAACTGAGATCACTTGATTGTAACTTATAGCGGAGATGGTAGTGATGATATAGAGCATATATGTTATCACCTTTTCTTTGTAGATATGATAGGAATGATGTGCCCTTTCAAGCTAACATTTCCATTTGAGATTGCTTGTGCAGAGGTAACAGAAAGAAATAAATAAAACATTTAGTTTTGTAGGAGTTAAATTCTAAACCTGCTGTGAGTTGAAAGACCTTTTAAGCTAAGGGAGACTGTCAGTGAACACCCAGACCCTTTGATCTCTCACTGTATTTTCAGGGTGGCTATTGTATGTTTGTTAGGGATGCTGCTGCAATAAGATCTAACTCTGCTTTCCTTTCCTTGACACAGTGGAGCTGAATGAAGTGGGGTTCAAGTTTGTTAGGAAGTGCATCAATGTCATCGAGACCAAAGGTAAGGTTAGAGCCATAGCCTTGACATTATTTCCACTCTATTGTCATCCCCAGTCACTTTCTCTGAAGTAGCAATGATATCATGTGTGCTGAAGAGCTATTGTAAAAATGACAACTGTTTATAAAACCCTGACACAATTTTCTAGAATGTTCTAGAAAATTCTAGTTATATCCAAGCATATCTGGATAATTTATGGTTTCAGAGTTTTAAAAGAGAGGTAATATTGTAAACATATTCTGCCATAGTGCTTGGTGTTCTTCAAGAAGTTTAATGATGGTTCCATCCCAAAGAGTCATGAGTTCAGTTTCTGTAGCAATACCTATTGACATTGGGCACACTGGGATCAGTGTGTTTCCAGGGTTATGACTCTTGGGATATTTCCACTGACTATATTCCCAATGCTGGTGGTTCGCGTATATGAGCCAAGGCTCTTTTTATTTTGACATGGTGCTTCAGTCTTACTTTAGCTTCACATCTGCCTTATTTTATCCCTCTTCCCTGGTTTGTTTATTTATTTAATTTATTTTTTATGCCAGTCCTAGAGCTTGAACTCAGGGCTTGGACACTGTCCCTGAGGTTCTTTTGCTCAAGGCTAGCACTTTACCACTTTTGAGTCACAGCTCCACTTTTGGCTTTTTTCTTTTGAGTAGTTTATTGGAGATAAGAGTCTCATGGACTTTCCTGCCTGGACTGGCTTTGAACTGTGATTCTCAGATCTCAGCCTCCTGAGTAGCTAGGATTACAGGCGTGAGCCACCGGTGCCCAGGTCCTTTTTCCTTTTATGGAACAACTTGAAGGTTAAGATTTCTTCCTTTTTCATTTACCTATGAACATCTTTCTGACATGGCTCTGGCCAAGCACTTAAAAGCACGTGTTTCACTATGGTGCAAATGAAAGCATGGGTTGTTGTGCAGACATCTTTCAGGATTGTGATGGTGTCATAGGAGAGCTGAAGAACTTGAAGAGAGTAGAGGCCCCTGCCCATCTGAAGTTATGATTAACACTTCGTTTTCTAACCTGGAGGAGATGGGGCTGCTGTTTACATGAACACCACTCACCTGACCTGGTTTTCTTTTCCTAGGGATCAAGACGGAAGGGCTATACCGCACAGTGGGCAGCAATATTCAGGTTCAGAAGCTGCTGAATGCATTTTTTGGTAACTAATTCACTCTTTTCACTTCTTATGGGAAATAGTTTGTGTGTTAGCAACCAAACCGGATTGGAAGAAAAAAGAAACAGTGCCAAGGAAGGTTGTAAAATTTTTTTGTGTGCTGATCTTGGGGCTTGAACTCAGGACCTGGGCACACTGTCCCTTTGGTGCTCAAGGCTATCACTCTACTACTTGAGCCACAGCTCCATTTCTGGCTTTTTGGCCGTTAATTTGAGATAAGAGTCTTGGGAACTTTCCTTCCTGGGATGACTTCGAATCTCAGTCCTCAGACATCAGCCTCCTGATTAGCTAAAATTACAGATGTGAGCTACCTACTGCTCAGCTTGTAGAACGTTTTTATTTTGAGTTGAGATGTTATGTTGTCGCCCTAGCTGGTCTCAACAATATGGATTCCTGCCATCTTCCTGCTTTTGCCTTTGAAGTAGTTGAAATGGATAGGCATCACCACTACTGCTCTGTCGAATATTAGAATCTATTTGAATGTAATAAGTGTACACATATTTTCCCCCTATTGTGTGAGAGGCAGTCTTGCCTTGAAGAAATGATTATTATTTCTCCTTGCTCTCATCCTATTCACCCATCCCTCACTTTGTGACCTGGCTTCCACCCCTACCTCTGTTCCCCAGCTTCCATGGTTACACATAACAAGTATCTGTTGATGAGTAACAATGAATACTCTTTAGTCCAATCTTACTTAAGCAGACTACTCTCTCATTTTGGAAAACTGTCCTCTTAGTTAACATTGTGATGCAACATTGCCTCTATTCTTTGAAGAATCTCATGCTTTCCTTTGTCCATTATTTTTACTGGATTCTGTTGTGTGTGTATCTTCTGGTACTGTGGCTTGAACTCTGGGCTTAGGCTCTATCCCTTAGTTTTTTGAATTTTGTGTTTAGCTCTCTGTGGATCAGCATGATCCATTCAAACTTTTTTAGAACGTTTCTTAGGCCAGGCATAAAGTTGCCTTTGCTGACTTCTTCAGAGCAGCTAGCGAGGCCTGACTCTTAGCTTGCCATTCTTACTGATCAAAGCACGACCATCTCTCAGTTCTGTGTAAATTCTGGGACTTGTTCAGTTCTAAGTCCCTGGTGTTATTTTTCCCCCTTATCCTGTGGAGTTCCTCCCTTTGCTTGCTATTCACTCCTGGCATTACATTCAACAAGAACTCATGGGAATCCTTGGGATTTTTTTGTGTGAGGGTCTTTCTCTATATAGTTCCTTCTCTTTTTATTTTTAATTAATTAATTAATTTTTGGTCGGTCATGGGGCTTGAACTCTGAGCCTGAGCACTGTCCCTCAGCTCTACAGCTCAAGGCAAGTGCTCTACCACTTAAGTGCCACTTCCTATAGTTCCTTCTTTTGTGGTGCTCTCCTTAGAAATTCTAGCTGATTCAGTCTCCTGGACCTTTGACTTTTGTTTCTTTGCTTGAACAAGATTCCCCTGTTTAGGTTAGCTTCTTACTGCCTCTATTCCCATCAAGAAAGCACCTTTAGGTAGTCAGTTGTGGCAATGATAAGGCTGATCTTATTGGTTTCCTCATCATCAGAGCCAAAGTCCAGTTGCTGTCCATGTTCAGGTACCTCAAATAGTTATTTCTTTTTTTGGGGGGGGGTGTCCAGTGGTGGGCCTGAACTCTGGGCCTGGGTGCTGTCCCTCAGCTCTTCAGCTCAAGGCTAGCGCTCTACCACTTGAGCCACAAGCCACTTCTGGCTTTTTTCTTTTTGCTTATGTGGTGCTGAGGAATCAAACCCAGGGCCTCATGCATGCAAGGCAAGCGCTCTACCACTGAGCCTCCTTCCCAGCCCAAATAGTTATTTCTTATCTGTTGTCCAGTTTGCTAATTGTTGTAATGGAAGGGCAAGTCTGGTACCAGTTGCTCCCCCTACCCCTGGCTGGGAGATAAGGCAGTCTATGGGGTTTTACTAGGACCTATGGCTCTTAGCTTCTCAGAACTTCAATGCTACATGTCATCTCCTGAGGTAAGGGATTCAGTTGCCCACATCACCTGTGCTTTTCAACCTGATTTTGGGCGTGACACATGTGCTCACTAAAGTGCACTGTAAGAAATGGATATGGTGGAGACAGCAAACCTTACAAGGTCAAGGAATCAATACTGGAATCCCTGCATAAGCTGGCTCCTCAGTGATGTTCCCTAGCTTCTCCTATTTGTCATGGCCAATGTAAAATGGGTGGTGTTTTTCTCCCTGCGAGCCTGCTCTTCTTTTGTAGGTGGTGGCAAAGTATCTGCAAAGCAGTAGTTTGCATAAAGCTCTCACTTTGCTCTTTTTCTGATTCATGGCCTATGTATTTGGAACCTCGGCTAGCTTTTACAGATGCTGTGGGACTTAGTAATGCATATTTGGTGGGTTTTATTTTTTTATTTTTTTATTTTTTTTGGGGTCCCGTCATGGGGCCTGAACTCTGGGCCTGGGCGCTGTCCCTCAGCTCTTCAGCTCAAGGTGAGCACTCTACCACTTCAGCCACAGTGCCACTTCCGGCTTTTTTTTTCTGCTTATGTGGTGCTGAGGAATCGAACCCAGGGCCTCATGCATGCAAGGAAAGCGCTCTACCACTGAGCCACCTTCCTAGGCCTTGGTGGTTTTTGTAAAATACATCCTTAACAGTTTTTTAAAAAAATCTTTAAGTAGTGGTACAAAAGGGTTTCAGTTTAAACTGTCCATTTATAAGTACAATGCATCTCCATCAGTATCATGCCTTCCATCCTTCTACTGCCCCACCCAACCTCACCCCTCCCCTCAAGTTACCTGGTTCCATTTTCACATGTACATTGAACATAATGATTATATTCTCCCACCTTTCCCCTCTTTGTCTACCCTGTGGTAGTTTTGCATTACCGATCATCCCATTTATTCCCCAGTATCTATTTTACCTAATGACATTATATTGTTGGATTTTTTTTATTGTGAAAATACTGCACAGAGGGTTACAATTACATGGTCAAGATAATGAGTACATTTCTTATCAAGCATTGTAGCCTCCTCCTTTGTTTCCCCTTCCCATCCCTTCCCATCCTCCCCCCGTCCCCCCACCCAATCCTCCCCGCTACCCCCCCCCTCCCCTCCCCCCACACCAAAGTTGTAAAGTTCATTTTTCAACAGAATGACTTGTACATCTCATTGTTGCAATGGGTCCACCTGTATCCCTATTTGAACGACTTGTTTTTCCCCTTCCCCTCCACAAATTATACCGACATCAAATACAGTGAAAGCAGGGGTTATACTGTGGGGGAGGGACATACAAAGCAACAATGAAATAATCTTATATTATTGGATTTTAAATCTTCCAGTTGCTTCATTCCTGGGCCATTAAGCATACTTTTTCATATATAAAATAGCTGACAGTGTGGCCCAGGTTATTGAATCTGAAAAATCATTGAACTGAGATCCACTGTTTAGAATTCTGTTTTCAGTATCAGTACATTCTTCTACCTGATATATTCTAAGCTGAAAGGAAATGCCATTCCAAGGATTCTATAGAAGAGCTTAAACAAGACAGAAATGATTCCCTAAAATTGCATGATTGGATTCAAATAACTGAAGAAAGTAGCACAATTGTCATATCTCATTTCTTCAGCATCATCTTCCAAATAGCATTCATGGGAATATTGGAAATAGAGTCTAGGAAGGTCCAGATATAAATATTTATAGATAAAATAAAAGACAGAGCTGGATGTGATAGTATATGACTGTAATTCCAGCTTAGAAGCTAGAAGCAGGAGAATCACAAGTTTGAGAATTGCTTGGGCTATAGCAAGACCCTGTCATTCTCAGCCAGACATACAACACTGCTATATACTTATTTATATAATAAAGTAGTAACCCTGGATCCCTTTCTCAAGTCTAAGAAATTCTAGATCTGGTGGTTGCTGTCACTGATTTCTTCTTTTAGCAAATATCTGATACCAACCTAGGGTTAGAATCAGGCATTACTATAGGAGTAGACCACTAAACACTTCTGACTTTTGTGGGACTTACAGCTAATTATGGCCCCTTCCTTCTAAACTTTATTTCCAATTCTTTCCTTCCAGGGCTTTCACTGGGATCCTCAATGTTGTCTTTCTTGTCCATGCCTCCCAACCTTTTTTATTATTTATTCTCACCACTAGGGACTTTCTGTCCCCTGGTATACACAGACCTATCATGATTTATCAAACAAGGTTCACTTTCAATTACATGTGCATCGTATTTCCTCTCTGCTTTCCTTAGGCCTCACATTATATGCTGGTCAAAAGGAAGGTGAATGTTCATGCTGCTCATCCTTCTTTCACAAGAACCTGCATGATGACATTGCCCCTTCTAGGATAATCAGAGTAACCTTCCTATTTCAATGTCAGCTGATTAGTAACCTCAATTCCATTTGTATCTTTAGTTACCCTTTTGCATATGACCTAACATGCTAGTTCTGGAGATTACAATTTGGACATCTTTCAGGAACCAAAATTCTACCCACCACACACATTCCATTCAGAATTTAGGGATACACTCCCTTTGGTCCCATTACATGAATCTTGAGGTTGTTTTTGCTTTCACCTTTTTGGGATCCACGCCCTGAGTTCAGTCCCCATAATTACCAAAATACGGAAAGAAGGAGGGAAGGAAGGAAGGAAGGAAGGTAGGAAGGAAGGAAGGAAGGAAGCTAAAGAAGTACCTTGTTTTTTGTACCATGTGGACTCTATAATCTGAATCCTAAGATTCCTTACCTGAGTCTAACTACCCTGGTATCCTAATCTCAGATTTCCAGCTTCCAGACCTATGAACAATACCTTCTGTTGTTTATAAACCAGAATGTTTGTGGTAATTTGTTATAGTAGATGCAAGTACTTTTTCAAGTTGTCTCAGAGCTTTAACAGTAAGAGTAGCATTTATACTGTCCCCGAGAGAATCTTGCTCTCCATTTAACCCATTGACTCCATTCCTATGATTTCCCTTAGCGTAATTTATATTTTTAAATTATAACATGAAAA